AACCATCCGGATAACATTCTGCCACTGTTCTTTCACCAAAGTAAGCTTGGAAATAAACTCTGTTCTGAAAATGACAAGTATTGAGTGTTAATATATTTTGACCTCAAGGCTGCATTTTACAATAATTGTGATGGATTTCCATTTGCAACCTTGTATTCTAATTACAATGCCCAACTATGCAAAAAGCTCTATGCAACCCTAAGCTCAGCCCTGCTCTCTGTATTTTATCTTTTAAGCAATCCAAAAAACCTTTTACATGATACAAGAATGGATAATGCAAGTCATTCTTGCTATTGTGGTATAGTGCATCTATAGTACAGCAATCACAGAAACAATGTGCACTAAACACTTCTCTGAAGAACAAGAAGGTCAATGCAAGTGAGACAAGGTGTCTGATTATGCTGCAAAATTGATCTGTGCTTTTACCAGGCTATAAGTGGGAGTTCAACCATCATTTGTATCCTACAGCAGTGGGACCGAACTGCAAAGTGAACAGGCTCTGTGTTGTTATTGAACCCATTCAAGCAGGTTTTTGGCCTCTCCTACAACATGGTTAGATGATCCAGCAGATCTAGCTGGAGTGATTAAGATCCGTCTATCAATTCTGGTCCTCTGCAGGAGGCCATGGCCCCTGATTATCTCTTATACAAACTCCTGTGTTTGTGGGGTCAGCTTCCACACCAAAAAAATCCATCGGCTTTGCTTAGTTTAGCCCTACCTTCCCTGGCAGCTTTAAGCCAAGCTACGGACTTCATACTGAAGTGGCTGAGGGGAGCACGCACACTGTCCTGCCAGCGCTCAGGAAGCAGCAAGTTCTGGCAGAGGGGTAATATGCCTGAGGCAGTTGAACCTCTGCTCACAAATATTACTCGCTGTTTCTCACTCTAAACTGATTAAGAGAAAAGTATAGGACCATACCGATAAAAAATAGGTTTAGCTACCATATGGTTTGGGTAGTGTGGCCGATGACTCAATTCCCTGTCACGTGTGTCAGGGGCAACATGGATAGGCTCACACCTCAGTACTTTAAAAAGTAGGCCTAGGAAGAGAGGAAGGATCCTTCACATGCAGCACTCTCATTACCCTCTGTAAGAAGGTAGCTGCTCAACCACAGTTACAGTTCAACAACTGCAGGGTAGCGTAGCCAAGGAAGCTGGCTGGTCAGGAGCAATTATTTTTGTTAGGCAGAACATCCAGTTACTGTCCAAAATGCAGCCTGGCCAGGGCACCTGTGTTTCCTCCTCATTGCACCTCCTCACGCTCTTGCAAAATATGCTAGGAGGTTATTTAAAGGGTGAACCCAGTCAAGAATGACAGCAAAGATTCAATACCAACTCCAAGGAAGACAGCATATTCACTGAGATCTTAGAGAAAAACACAAATAGATTACCTTTTCTCTGCTTCTCCGGATTCCAGGAAGAGTAGAACTTTTGCTATGATAGAATTAAATGTCTGCTGATTTATGGAAATTTCAGTTTGCAGCATCTGAAATACCATGAGAACAACAGTTATTACTATTCACTGACCAACCTTTGTTCAGCATTTATTTAATTGTAAATGCTGAAAGCTCCATTATTTTCAAGTGCTACTGTCAAATGCATCCTAAAAGATTCCACACTTTTTGGATACCAGGAGGAATTTGCACATATGTGATAGCAGAACCTACCAGGAGCTGTATGTTACAGGTAATCTGAAGCCTAAAGTTTGCTGGACTCATTCATGAGAAATGCAATCTAGGCAGAAACCCATAGAAAAGGTATAAAAAAGCTTCATATAATGGTGAATTTACTCTTTATCACAACAAGCAAAAGTTTATTCTATAGATAATTTCATTGCAATGAAAGAATTGTTTTAGAGGTCTAAGTAAAAGACTAAAAATAAGTTTCTGTGGACCCTAGTGAATATCACTAACATGCAGAGACTTAATGCCCCGTGGAATTAGCCACAGTACTTTGTGGTCCACTGCAGCAGCACCAAGCTCAGCCTAACAGTTCATGATGTTTAGCATTTACCACACGATTATTTTTTTTTTTCCTGTATTTTGGTTGGTTTTCCATCTGCCCACCACTAGGACAAAGTCTATATGTAGAGACTTTGCTTAGAATTGCATCCATACGCTACAGCTAGAATGCAAGGTACCTTCTCTGAATGGATACTGTCATAGACGTGTGAAGCACTATCTCTCTATAACAAATAGCAAGTGTTTGAAAAAATGCCAGCAAAACAGATTTCTACCAAACTCTAACAACTGGTCAAAACGGAAACATGCTGTGAAAACTTTTTTTTTTTGTTTTCCAAAATGCAGTTCTTTCAGAAACTGGTATGGTTTCTGCCAGATCGCCAGCAAACTGCCTAGCTAGTTGCCACAGGCTTCAGTGCTCTGGGACAGATAGACAGGCAGGCAAGTGACCTCAGGGCTGGAGAAATCTGGGATTTCCGTGATGCAGCACTTGAGGATGCACTCCTAAAGGTCTGATCCCTGCAAAAAGGGATCCATCCCTTTTGGAAAAGGATTTTCACATTTCAAAGTTCTCTTCTGAATAAGTACAAGGCCACACTTCAAGAATGAAATGCTCTGTAAAACTGTCCAGGCGTAATTTTAAAAGGCATAGCATTTTCTAGTGATTTTCCCCCCACCTTCACCATTCAAGAAGATGCTTCCATTTTTAGAGTTAGCTTTACCTCATATACTCTCTGTTGCTCTTGAAGTTCTTCAAACCGTCCTGGAATATTTGTTTTTAAGGCCTCTTTCATTTTTTCTAGGAATTTCATCCAGTTTTCACATTTCTGAAGGAATTTCTTTTCATCATTTTGATTTCCCTCAAGCATACTGTAAAACAGAAGAAATAATCCGAAATTATTGTGTTGGTGGTTGCTTTTCTGTTTGCACACAGCCTATCGTGGTGGTTAGTACTACTAACATAGCAGGGGTTCACTTGGCACTCTGCTGCCTTCTTCACCTGTGATTTTTGCTTCAAGTGACTTGGAATACAAAGAGACATTGAATAATCGAGTAAATTGAAAGGGCAGGAATTCAACCTGGAAAGCCACTGAGAAAGCTGAGAACAGATTGCAAGACTCCCCATGCTTTAATTTGGTTTTGATTTTCCTCACAGAAAAAGAAATGGTTAGTAGTGATTTTTTTATTTGCATTTCAGACCTGCAGCATTCCAGAGCAGCTGCTGTTTTCTGACTCCACTGCCAAGTCAGGCTCTGCATTTTCTTCAGGGTAAAGTCACTGAGTGGCAGCTTAATGCTTGCTTCATTCAAACTCTCTATGCTTGGAGAAAGTGCAGCAAGCTCCAGTGTCCGATTCTGAAAGTAAAATATAAATTAATTGCAAAAAATACTGCCTTTCTTTCATTTCAAAGAAATATAGGAGCCCCTTCTGTAGGAAGCATCTGAACATTATACATCCAAAATGCTCACCCAAAACCCCCCAATCTTTCTGTGTTAACTTCAAAGAATATAGGAAACAAAAAAGTCAAAATTCCCTTACACAGGGCCTGCTTTTCCAACAGTACTGAACAGATACTCAAGAGCTGGTTCTTGCAGCTTTATTTTGTACCCTACATTGAGGGTAACAGGGTAACTCCAGAGCAAAGCTGAAGAAAAAGATCTTCTTATCAACCCCAAATCTATGTGATATTCTTCCCCTCCATGTAAGCATTTGGCCTGCAATGCATTATCGAGAGTTTTTATGAACTTAAATAATGTTTTTTTTGTATTTTGGATGAGATTATAGTTACTCTGATGCAAGTGCTATAACTATGATACTTAGGACACAAAAGAGTTTCTTGAAATAGGCAAGAGCTGGTATCCTACAGACACTTAAACCCTGAGTAGTATCTTTTTGTACTTGGGAATCCAAACATACCATGAGCAATTCTGAGTTGTCTTTTTCTCCTTCTAGACAGAGACTATCGAAGGCATCTGTGCAATTCTTGACTTGACCCTCCAGCGTGTCAAGACAATTCTTGAAATCCTCCAGTTGTAAAAGATTGAACTAGGGTGAATATTGCATATTCATGTCAATTATGATTTAATGCACATATTCAGTATACAAAAAGGAGCAATAAGCAGTATCATCAGGAAAGCAACAGATGTTAAATCCACATTTCAATGTATTTATAACTCACGTAATGAACTTTTTCCATTTTTGCATTGGATAAGGGGAAAATTTAAGCCAAAGCAGAGAGCAAGATACTGAATCTCTAAATCCACAGAGATTCATATCTGTCTGTAAGGAACAGGGGCATCTGCAATGCCTTTTTGTACCTTTGGGCTGTTTGATTTATTGTGTAATTGGAAAGCCAAAACTTAGCTTATCAGAGGGAAGAAACTCGTGACAATAAGATCCCTTGGAGCTACACACTGGGCCCGCTCCCATGCACCCAAGGCTGTGCAGCTTACATGAGCTCTGTGGAGAGAAATAACTAGGGCTGCAGTTCAACTTCTTTATTCACTAGGTTGGTTTCTTTGGGTCAGGGAGAAAAGCACTGGGAAAGCTTTTTCCTTCCTGCAGGAACTAAGCTCCACATCTCTAAGAACACGGCAACAGCAACATTTTTACGAGGCAAAAATTGGCGCGGGGAGAGAGGCAGTTCTGTGGTAATACTGCAGAGGTTACGCCAAAGAAAATGACTTCCAGAAATGAAATTTTTCATGGAGGGAGAAGTTCACAGAGAATATGAGAAATCTGTTATCTTCACAAAGATAGCTGGCTTACAGCCATTGAACCGTGCTGGTAGATGGAGTCATAAATAGAGCTGGCTGAAAATTTCTTGATGAATTTGGGTTTACTTTAGAACAGAACAATTCATTGAAACCAGACTTTTTCACAGGAACAGACTAGTTTTACATCAGTACATGTACAGCAGTACATTTGCTTGGAAGTTTCCTCAGGAATACCTGCACAGAGGGGAAGTCAATCCCACAGCATTCCTCTGAGCAAGGCATCATGTGGGGAAACCTGGATCCAGGTCCCTCCCAACTCTGCCAGAACAGGGATGTGAATCTGGTCTTCAAAATTATGTCAAATGATCACAGTTTTCTGTTTGGTTTTAGGTACTTTTGTGCACTCTTATCAAAGCAATCTGAAGCCCTTAGGTTTTTTCCAAGGCAAAGCTGAGAAAGTTTACAACTTACTTTAAAGTTCATAGAATAAAAAATACATTTCCTAACCTTTAATCATCTGATTGTAGTAAGTCCACTTACAAAGGCTTGTTAGAGCAACACAAACAGGTAAGAAGGGTGAAACCTTTCCTTTAACTGTCCCTCTGGCTTCATGTATTATTTCTTTACATAATTGATTATACTGTCAAGTTTTATTTTATGGAAATTTCAATTCAAGAACTACAGGGCTCTAGTGAAGAAGTTACCTCACACTGACACCTAATTTAATAGTAAAAAAAAAATACCTCAAATTCATCTAACTTCCTCTGCAACATCTTTTCTAAATAGGATGCTGCCTGGAGTGGCTGCAGCTTCTCCAACAGAATGGCTTGTGCAGCTGTCCCAGCCTGCTGTTTTATCCGATCAGCCAGCAAAGAAATCTGGGTACGGGATCCTGCTATGTTTTGAAGGCCATGCTGTAAATTCTGACGAGAGAAGGGGAAAGAAATAAAAAGTCAGCAAATGAATCAGATCGTCATTCATGTGCCACTTTCATTTAGTATCTTTTGTTACTGTAACTAAGCTCTTTTTGTTGATCTCCTCTGGGAGCCAAATGCAGCTATGGTGAAAGCTTCAGTCTTTTACTCAGAGGATAATGGGAATTGCATCTATTGACTCTAGTGCTGGGAAAGGCACAGTTCAAAGTTCAGTGGAACACCAGTGACTTCAGGCAGTGGCATACTACTGCTACAGAGGAGGTGAGGGAGAGAACTCAGAATATCCCTCCCTACAGAATGAATTTACACTAGCAGATGGAGAAACTGGCCCATGCTGCAGATTAAAAAATGCTGTTATGTTACAAACATACCAGCACTTTGGATCCCTTAGTAACTGAGGACTATGGTTTTATTTGTTCCCCTTTGCTACAGAAATGATGCTATAAAATCAAATTCTAAAGGCAGTACAAGAACAAAAGGAATCATTTTATACTCATTCAATGTACTTGATTATTTTTTTTTGACCTGGACAACTGTCATTTATTTTTAGCCATGAAATTCCCTGGATTTTGCCACTGCATATTGTCTTTTCTGTGAGTAATGAACATAGACTTCTGATTGATAGCAAAGAGCAGACGTGTTTCCCTAAAAAGCAAAATGGCTTTTAGTTCTTGACTCCTGTCTTTGGAATGGATCATATTGTAAACTGCCACTTCAGCCATTTAGTAAATAACCCATTTTGATTTCTTTGATAAATAGGACATTATTTTTATTTATTGTGCTGACAGAGTTCCATAAAACCATAATCTTTCCTAATATATACTAGAGGAAAAGATTAGAGAGATTAAAATACAGCTTTGTAATGCACATGTATTTTCAAATACATGTTAATTCCTATGCCATATCACTGATCCCCATTCTTCTAACTCACCACTTTCAAAAAACACAATAAAATCCATGTGTCCTACCCACACATACCAGGACAGGATCTACAATGCTAATGATCATGCCTCACTTAGGTGCAAAACTTTTCCCAAGAATTTCCAGAAAACATGATGCCTTTTTGCTGACATATTAATGAATTTATGTCACAGCCATTAATCGATCAGAAGAAAGTGAAAATGTTCTGCTCTAAGCTTTGCTGCTGTGAGTTGTTTCTGACACAGGAAGAAATATATGAGTTCTCTTTCCCATAATGTAAAGTTTCTTAATTGGCCACATGCAAAATTAAGTACTTTGGACTTCTTCCAGTATGTGGCTAGAGGTTCATAAAGCATGATGAATCACTGCTCAATCCTGAAATTATATTTCTTTATTGCAGTCTGAAGAAACCAAAAATGTCAGAACCTAATGACAGCTTTGCTGCCTGAGAGAGTCAAATGTACCCTGTGGTCTCAGCATGAGATCTCATTTGCCTAAAGTCAGAAGCATTTAGAATAATCTAATGAGCTCAGTCTGTGAACTTATCAGACCAGGCCAAAAAAAGTACCAAACCCAAATAAAACCAATTTGAAGAAAGATCTCAAGATGGTCCTGTGTTCTAAAAAACTGGTCTTTTTCTTCCCAGCTATTGTTCTAGTAGATATTATCTCTCCTCCCAAGCAGTTCCCCATAAAGTAAGTAATTTTTGGTTCAATGATTCCTTCCAACACAGGCCTTATTCTTTGCATAGAGAGAAACGGGTAGAGATGGAATATGATTGCTCCCTTCTGCTCTCTTCTTGTCCTACGCTAACTGTAGTTTGGTTTGGCCTCAGGATCTGGTCAAAGTATTTAAAGGAAATACAAAGGTGCCTGTTAATGGAAAAAAACCCCACAGATTTTATGTTTTCCACTGACTGGATTTGGGGGAGGACAGGGGAAGAAGATGTTCTTTCGATTTGTTTCTCAAAAATAAATCCTGGTTTGTACCAGGCAGCAGAAACATATTCATGTACCTTTATATCCTGTATCCTCTGCTTCAGGGTTTCTATCATGTTATCCTCGGGCAAGTGAGCATCCAAGAGCTGAGCGCACTGCTCTTTGTGCTGTTGTAACTTGGCTGCTGCCTCACTGCATAAAGTATCAAAGGGCTCCCAAAGCTGCAGGGTCGCTTGCGCTGCCTGCAATTGATCTGTGATGTCTTCATTTACTGAGTTCCACCTGCCAACATATCAAAGGGTAAGAGCATTCTCCTATTAGATTCTTCTCCAGAATATGATTTGGTGTAGGATTCCTGTGGGAGTTTCCTTGCATGCATACCCATGTAACTGAAAGCCCACTGACACAGCACCATTTTGTGCTCTGTGATCCATCACAAAAACGGTAGCATCAGCTACTGCTCACACAGGTACCCTTAGACAGGTGAGTCATATTAACACAGATTTAAAAATCTGACAGACGTTCAAGTCCTGCCTCAGCAACTTTTTTTTTTTTTTTAAATACTAGTAACCGGGAGTCTTTTTTGCCAGCTTACCTAGTCTGTGCCTCGGTGCACTTCTGTTCAATAATCTCTGCAAAGGAGGGGGAGCAGCTCTTCTTCAGGTTACTGGCAGCAGCCTGGAGCTTGGCCCAACTCTCTTCACTGTTCTCTGATTCATCTTGCAGAGACTGCAAAACGGATCATTGCAATTAGTTGTGGAGGTGAATGACGTAAGTGTAGCTTCCCCTATATACTGGTAGGGATACGGTAGCAATAATGTCACACATTTGCAGCGCAGATTAAAATGTTTGTGAAAAATATATCACCTGATCCTAAAAATTAGGAAGCTAAAAGAGAGGTTGAAATGGTTCAAGTTAAAAAATCATTCAGGAGGCCTATTTTGAACTGAGGTCATTTATTTGCTATTAAAGAAACAGCTCATTTAACAAACCCACGGCCTTGAACTGATTAAATTAATTCACTAGAAACCAAAAATGTTTTTATTTTAAGACACTGTTTCAGGGAAATTTCTACTGGCAGTAAAGCTGCCTTGACAACTCCTGTCCCTGGCTGTGCATTCTTCCTCCTGATACAGGCAATTGCAGAACCCTGCCATGGGTCTGTGAACTGATCCAGATTAAAAATAAAGAGGGTGATGGAAAGAAGGAAGGAAGAAGGTCCCCAGTTCCTTCCACTTATTACATGTCCCCAGCAGAGGGTGGAAAGCACTTATGCAGGCTTTACTGCCGAGACACATAGCCGGGATTCACAGCCTCAGTCTGTGCTACACCACTTCTGATACAACTTGAAAATAAACCAAAACAGGTCTTATTTAGACCAAACCAGGGAGTGTTTATACAGCCTTTCAACACTCGTTTAAAGCCAGGTAAGGGGATTTTAGCCACATCTGTAAAACGCTTGGACCCGGGGCCAGCCTGACTGCCTACTCTAGATGCCCCACTTAGAGTCTGTAATAGCCAAGCAGAGCAGCAGGGTGATCCAGAGCATTTATGCCCGCCATTTACGCCCAGCCTCATTCAGAGCCTGCGCAGAAAACTCCAGCTCTCTGGAGGGCGACTGAACCCCTAGAGGGGACTTTGCACTGGAGCAATCAGAAATGCCAGGTTTGGGGGTCCCCCTGCTCTGCCCCAGGGCTGCTGCACGCACCCAACCCAAGCCACAGCTTTTGGGAAAGGGAATCCTGTATGCTGGACCTTGACCCCAGGTCAGGTTTATATGAGGAAAGATGCTTTAATGCAAAAAACGCTTTAGTGCCAAATGTGTCAGAGGTCACTGGCACAGTGGCTGGGACATAGTACCCCAAGGGGAGCGTTCAAATCACAGATCTAGAGACATGGTCCCTTCACCAATTTTCTCCCAGGTCCCCTTCATTTCTGCATTGAGTCCCAGCATTGATGCACAAGCATCTCCTTCCAGGTTATGCTACAGCCCTACGGCACGGCATTTCCCTGGGAAGCGTGAGTGAAGAGGCAAATTTCCCTTCAACCAGTGAGCCGAGAACCAGCAGCAATGGCGTTAGGTTTTCCTTTGCCAGCTGTATTTTCAGCCAAACTTCCTGCTGTCCACGTGGATCAAACAGGGACTGCGTAGACATTAGCATGAGGGATGGTGGTGGAGCGCACATGTCCATCTGGACTCTGTGGTGCAAGGGAGCATGAGGACCTGGTGCTTCATATGGGGGTGCCTTCCAGCATGTGCCGAAGACTGAAACACCAAAAGATCTTTGCCATCCAAAACGGAGGCTCTGCTAGCCTGCAGTAAGGCAGACATGGTAGCAGCTGACCTGTACTTCTCTCTTGAACCTTGGTATCTAAATTGCATCAAAGTTGAACTTAGTGCTAAATAAAGTACAAAGTCTAAAAATACCTCAGTGCCTCTGGAGGTTAAAAAAAAAATCAAAAAATGCCACTGACTTCACTGGCACTATAATAAAGAGGAAGTTGCTTACATAAATTTTTCTGTCTTTTTTTTCAGTGGAGTTTGTTTGTTTGTTTGTTTAAAGGCACAGAAGGAAGTACAGAAACAAGACAACTTCACTAGATTTACCTGGAGAGTTTTGACCTGTTTTTTCAAAGCTTCCAATGACACCACAGAAGGTTTGCATTGGTCTATACAGTACAAATATCTTGTTGTCATCAGGCTGACTTCTGCATAAACTTCATCATATACTTTCCACTGTTCCAGTATTGACTGCATTGAGGTCTTTAACTGTGCAACCTGCAAACAAACCACTTTTGTTACTATTTATTGTGTAGTCCTGACATATAACCTTTATACCTTTAAAGTGACTTAAAAATCCACGCTTAATGCTTACTCCGTGACAATCTGCGAGAATTTTACAAGTTAGAGTGTCTTTCTACTTGGTGAGGAATTGTGCAGGCTTCAAACCAAGCAGTAAACAGTATTCAGAGTGAAGTATAAGAATTTGCTGAAAATAAAAAAGTAACCAGAGTTCAAGGTAGCATTATTTTGTCAGCCACAACTCCAGAACCCCCCAAAAAGTAAAAGAGTACTGAAATAATGAACTGCTTATTCCTTCCTGCCAAAATCAACCTAAAGTGGGAGGAAGTTGAGAGCCTTAATCTTCTTAGGAAGCAAACAATTTGATCCAGAGATCAAGTTTCCTTTTAACGAGAATTTGAACAGAAATTGTTTTGTAAAGAAGAAGATGCTACTACAATACTCTGGAGAGCTATCATCCCTCTTATGCCATTGTGCTCTAATAATGCAGACCCACCTGAATCACAGTCTAGGAACTTCAGGTTCTCATATAAAATTAAATGATAACCTCTTTGTTTTCTGTCTCTTTCATTATTACAGTTGTTTAATCTATATTGGGGCAAACATGGATTCCATTTGCCACTACTCCTAGACACTGCAAACACAAACCTACACTACTCCTTCTTTTTTATCCTTCTGTAGCAGGTAAGTACATAAGGCATGTCCTGGGTTAGACAAAACATTCAACTATTTCAATATGTATTTTCAGTCATGCCAGTACCAAACGCTTTGAGAAGACATGAAAACCAGGCAAGCAAATAAGCACGTCTCTCTAGGACGTGGCAAAGCCAGATGCCAGATTTCAGTTCTGACTATGCATCCACACAATGGAAGATGAAGACTTTTCTACACCATAGTGCATGCTAAATAGACTGCATGGATCATTGTATCCTAGTATCCTAGTTCCAGGCATGCAGGAATAGATGGATTAATCATCCCCGTTCTCATTTGAATCATGGATAGGTGGGAGGAATCTCTAATTGCTTTTTGTAGCCTGCAACTAATTACTGCCCACACAAGGAAGATGGAAAGACATCGTGCTCATGAAATGTCTCTGGGCCACAGACTCACAGTCTTGAGATCAACCTATGGACAATACAGTCACGGTATCACATCTCCTTAGACCTATATCTGAAATTACAGCCAGGCTCTGCTGAGAGCAGTCACCCGTGGGAAGAAAGCTGCACTTGCTGTTTCATTGCACATGCAGACAACTAGGCTGTAAGAACGTTCTATGGTTTGTAAGTTCAAGACTTAAGTCATAAAAGTACTAAAATTAATGTGACCCGTGGTGACTGTAAGAAGAAAAAAGCACTAGGCTGTCAATCCTGCCAGTTTCAATCCCCAGCTCTACAGCAGAAGGAAAAATTTCCATCATGTACAGACACAAAAATTTCTCCGCTTTCTTAGTAACAGTCACATCATTTATGTTGAAACCTAAACCAAGAAGCAGCAGACCCATCCTGGACCAACAACTCATGCGGAAGAGTTCAAGCAAAAGGGTTTCTGTTTCACAAAGTTTTGAGGAACAAAAGCAAGGCGTTTATAATAGAAAGTGTAATGGAACCTTAACTATAAGCACAATCACTGTGTAACATATAATCCTCTGCAGTATATGGTTATTTATTATCACAAATTTAAATCCATAAATGTACTCATTGTTGTATCTTCTGTGCCTATCAATTACATCTAGATAAAAAAGATCAGTTCCAAGTATAAAGATAATATAACTATAAATGCAAACTGCTGGCAAGTCAATTTGCACGGGAAACCAATCTGCCAGACTCTCCTTGAAGCAACTGGAAACTACATCGGATTTGAAGGTATCAAAAGCTGTCCAGGTGTGTGGGTGAAAGAGTAATTGGGAGATGGAAAAGCTGCAGTGAGAGTAGGGCAGGAGCAGGCAGCTTCCAGCAGCATACTACAAGGGAGAAAGACCAGGGTATGAAAGAGAAGCAGACTGAGTAAGAGTTTAAGGTTTCCATTTGCAACTTGACAGAAAAATAGCAGTGCTATGTCTTTATTTTCTTAAACTGCAGATGGGAGTCTTTCCTTCCTCCCCCTGTATTGAAACTACTTTGAGATCAGACTTTTTTTTCTCTTTCAACCTTGGAAATACATTAATTTACGTTATGGTAAAGACTTAAAAGGAAGTTCTTAGGAAGATTAAGATTAAAAGTAAAAAATACTTTGCATCTTTTTTGTACCAGCTCCTGCCATTCTATGAAGAAGATTAATAACACTGGTGGTAAGAATATGTACCGGAGGAAATTTGAATGCAAACAGAGCTTTTACCTGGCTTACAATGCTGTCTGCCATTTCACACAGCTCAGCTGTCCTGAGAGATATTGTTTCTGGGGTTTGTTCTGCACTACCATTCAAAGCCAGACTCTGTTTGAGCTCATCAAGAGTTTTGCATTTAGTTGTGAGTTGATTTTCTAGCTCCTAAAGGAAAAAAGAAAAAAAAAAAAAGGAAGATAATAAAGATCTTCTAATGAGAACATAGAAAAAACCTTCTGTGTGAGTAGCTTAGATAAATATTCCTTCTTTAAAACCAATTCTGTGTAATTCTTCAGCCATGCAACACCACCCCCATTTCAACTCTGATACAGAACAACTGCTTTACAGGAATTCAAAATGACAGCGGCTGCTTTAGACAGTCTCCTGCAGGTAGAGCCAGAATCAGTGCTTTTACTGTCAGCATGAACACTGGAAAGAAATCATCAGGAGCTAAATCCTCAGTCACCACGTGGGCCTCTTCGTACCTCTCTCCAGATGCAAAAAGTTTTTCTAGTAATGCAGCTAAACTTTTCCTTGCGCAGGGTAGCATTTGGGTCCTCCTCTGCTCCAGCAGACTGATTTAGGGTTTAGACTAGGAATTGATTTTGCAATATGAGGGTCCCTGACATCCTAACAACTTCTAGAAAGTTATTTTCAGTTTGTCCTCTTAGTCAGAGGCTTTCTCCCATGGGAGAAACCCCACTGAAATCAATGGAGATGCCTGGGAGAATAAATTCCCCCCTAACACAATCAGCAAGACGATAAACTAGATTTGACATGCTGGGGAAAGCTCAGCAAGAAATTGTTCACAACATGGGTAAATATCCATACACACAATGGGCCATAACATCTTCCTATAATACTACGCTTAAAGCCATGACCTTTTTTCCCCCCACTTATTGTCCTCAAAACATTTTCAAATTTGCACCTCATTTTTATTGAGCAAATTAATTTTAATGAAACATTTTAGCCACCTGCATCCTAGCACTGTACCTTGCTGTAAGCAGGTCAGTGTTTCAGTCAAAGATACCCTGTGTCTTTCTTCCATTCTGGCCCCTCAATACATTTCAGAGTGCTTCAGAAAGACAAGTAACTCGGGGTGTAACAGAGCACTCTAGGCAATAACAGCAGCCTACTACGAGAGAAGGAGACGTAACCATGGTAATGAAAGAACAAATATTCCATGTTAAAAAATAGAGAGGGAACACTGTACTGACTGAAAACAGCAAACTGTCGGAGTAATAGGAGCCAATCATTAGCTGGCTGCACCTGTACGAATTTTGAAGGCGCTGATGCCCAGGAAAACACAACAAAACCAAAGGACACCCAGATGCTTCAGGCTGGTGCAGAAAGACTGTGTTCTAGGGCAGGAGTAGAGAGAGTTGCTATTTTTTCCAAATGGGACTGTGTAGTTTCCACAACACTTCTACCACAGAGCTCTTCAAACTAATGGAACCGATAGCTTTTGCCATGGCTGTGCTGAACTGAGAACTACTTCTTCTGGAGGCATCTCAGAATAAGATCTACAATATTGCTGCACAACACTCCAATTTCCATGGAACAACAGCAGATGCATCTTCAATTGGAGGAAAAACCCCATAAAATAGCAATTCATGTTAAAAGTGGATCTGGCTCTTTATCACCTGAATCTAACATGCTTTAATTAAAATTACATTGTAGTATTCTAGGAAATGGCAACTTCCCTCACACTTTTTCTGTTAAAATCTGTGCGGTTCGTTAGTCTGGATTCAGCAAAGTGCTAAATATATTTTTTTTACAATCATATCACACATATAATGCTTTACCTTGCAATCGTCTAATGTGTTCTGTGCAGAAATCAGACTTGCTGGGGTTTGTAAAGATCTCAGTCGATCACTCTGAGCTTCCAGCCAGTTGCGTAGAGTCTGTTCTTTGTTCTCATTTTCAGTAACATCCTCCAAAATGTGTTCCAGATCTTGTATCTAAATATTAAAGAAATATTTTAACTTAGTTAAACCTAGAGGTGGGCAGAAACAGGGCTCCCCTTTCCATGACAAAATCCGAGATGACAATATTTACATTGAAAATACTATTTAGAGAAAATACTTTGAAAAGAAAAGCTAAAAAATTTTACTGGCTCCTTAGGACCTGACCTTTTTCCTGGGAAGAAAAGAAGGCAGTGTGGGTTCTGGAGCTGGCAGCCTGTGGACCTCACAAGTTGTGGGACCCTGAGCTATATGGACAGGAGTCTGAAAACCTCATTCTCCCTAAAACCCACCAACAAAGTTACTAAGAAGCAAGGGACCTCAAGTCTCCTATCTTCAGTCTTGGCCCTGAGGATCCATTAAATCCCAGAATGCAGTTTCTTGAAAATTATTAGAGAAGATAATTCCCGCCCCCTCCCCATCCCCCCTTAAAATTGAAGTGTCATCATGGAAATTTTCAATTGGGCAGGAACTGAATTTTCCACTTGAAAATGTTTCTCGAAGACTTTCTGAGTCAGAAAAATTGGGAATTTTCTGTTTGATCAGTGGTCTTTATATCTGGATTCAGGGAGGGCAGCTTCTCCCAAAGCCCTGTAAATGTGGGAGAGAAACAGAGATGAAGGAGGAGTGTGCTGGTAGAGGGATTCATTCCAGCAGCCTCATGTTTGCATTTTTGGGTGGTAACCTTCCCCTGGTCTTTTCCATATCACAGGAGTCACGCTAGCTTTTCTGGGCACTGGTGCACACAAGCAGCGACACCTAACTCTGGACGCATGGGTTATTTCTAACCTCAGTAGAATAAAGTAATTCTGAGGCACTGCCTGAAACAGATTTTCTACAGAGAAACACGAAAGATGTGCTGGTATAGTTAGTCTACATGTAGAATTTGCCTATCGGCTGCTGATCTTCAAAGCACTCCATTGGGAAAGCATATTTAATTACTGCAGAAGGAGGACATCGACACAGAATAACCCATTTCCAGTAACCCAGGAGGGCTGGAGCAGGGCTGGGAACCAATCCCTGCTGTGCCTTTTCCAGCAGATTTGTATGTCCCACCTGAATACGTCTGTCAACACTACTTACTTAATAATTACTTTTCTGGCAAACCCAACTGCTACAACAGGAAAATGGGTGGTAGCTTAATATATCCCTATTTCTCATTCCCAACACATGGCATGTGGAGGGTTGTTTGCTTTTTTGGTGCTGTGTTTGCTGAGCAGGGCCTGGCTGTTTGTACCAAGCAATGTAGCACCTCTCCCTTCCACAAACCATCCAGTGTTTTCTTCCACTAAGTTTTAAATGCCCCAACTTTCACAGTACCCCAACGCTCCAACAGTTTTCACTAACAGGTTTCCTCTGCAGAAACTACCCTGAATTATTCCTTTTTCATAGTTTTCTCAATATAGGTCATCTTTCTTGACATGTCACCGACTGTATTTTCTTCACGTGAGGAATCTTATTTTTTCCACCTAATACAGTCAACTAGGATAAATCCCAGGCTGTCATGAAGAGCAGATTTTGTCTATTTTCCCTCCCTGCAAGTTACAGGAGACTTTACCCTCCTGGACTTTGCTGAGGTTTGGGTGCCTGCCCACCACGTGATAGCCGGTGTGCTAGGAGACCACTCCATGGGCTGTCCATGAGGCAGCAGGATGGGCAGCCAGCAGAGAGCACAGGGAGTCTCACTGTGTTCAGCAGTGTTTTCAGACTCAGGGAGAAAGGCTGCTTGCAAAATACAGAGCACTGGCACAGGCAAGATCAGAGTTGTGAGCGAGAAAGCAACGAGAACTCAGTCAAACCTTTCTGTTCAGAGACGCCTGCAGCCTGTGCCATCGCAGGTTCATCTCTCCAAGACACTCAGCAAATTCTGTCCTTTCATACCGCTTGCTTTCCACATCACAAGTGCTCATCTGCAAGAGTGACTGGTTAACAAAATCTACCATCCACTGTTTAAAGTTCATTTCCATCATGTATTCCTGGAGGCAAAGGAAAAAAAAAAAAAAAAAGAAAAACGTAAACCAGTTAGTTTGGCAGTTTTAACTGAACAGTTCCAATGATGCTCCAAGGCATCGTTATGGGACATTCATGGCTTATTCTGAACCATGGCCTAACGTATTTTTCTGAAAAAGACTTGGCTGTAGGAATAATTATCCATTCTATATTTGTGTAGCTATTTCCATCCACCAAAACTTTTGCAGAAAATCACTATCATTATGTGGGTAGCTCAAGGTAAGAACAGGCTACTGCTGGAGCAGGGAATAAAACCTACGGGTACCAGATGCAGTACTTCGTCCATTGGACAATACCATCTCACCGCCATGGGCCCAGATTAGGCTAAGACCAAGGCCTTCCCACACTCCTGAGACTCACAGACAAGTGCAGACAAGAGCTTGTGCCACTTTATCAAAATATCTGGTATCAGAATAGAATATCGGAATACTTGGGAGGAAAAAGTGTCATCCAGCAGCAGCGTCCTTGCCCACAGAGAGGAGTGAGAAACTACACGCAAAGTGAGAACAGCTTAAGGGAATGCTTTTTTATTTCAGAATGTCTTAGAAGAAGAGGGGAGGAAAGGGCTCCTCATTGTATCTAGTAATACCCAGAAAAAAGCCACCAGGGAATACCACAGTAGAGGTATTGAAGCCACAGCTGCTTCCCTGTAGGAATTCGTGACCTTCATCCCAGCTTTCTTCTCAGCATACACACCCCCACATTGCTGACAAGTGCAGAAGACACATCTACAAACTGATCTCTAACCAAAGGGTTAAAAACAGCACCTCACGTACATGTTCCAACTGCCAAATCCAACTTATATAGACCAAAATGTTATATATCTGCTATACTAAGGCACTTTGAAAGAAATGCTTACGTTGGCACTTGCCTTATGTGTGGTACCAAAATGCCCGAGAACTCAGCCGAAGACTGAGAACTGCTGTCCTGTCTGAGCCCAGAGCACTGCCCGGTAGCTCTGCAAGGGCGGTGCAAAATGGGGCTCTGCAGGGATTCATGCCCTGAGGTTGGGCTCCCTGGCTTCTACGGAGGTACAAGGATGGCTTGAAACCTTCCTGTGGCTGGGGCAATCAGCCTCTGCCGTTGGTGCTTTAGCATCTGAACAGAGCCAAGAATCTGCTGCAGCCTCCCTCTCTGCAGAGACTTTCATCTTGTCCCTCTTTTCTAGCAGGTTACCTCTTTTGATGAAACATAATATTCAAAACCCCTGTTCTCTGGTTAAAGGAATCCTGATTAGGGAGCTCCATGATGAGGTATTCCTTGTTGAAAAGGCAGAATAAAACACAGCACAAACAGAGAGTCTATCTTCCTAAGGAAGCAAAGCTTTCCTGCTCAACACATTTTAAGATCTAAATGTAAGAGAGAACAAGCGAGACAGATGGGAGAGCATGAGGAAAAGGAGATTATAGCACAGCAGGCAGGGCAGGCAGTGTATTGTGTGGCATGAAAGCAAAAGGTTTTTATAAAGGAAGGCACCTTTGAGACTGTTTGAGGAACACTCCCAAGAGCAAGGGAAGGACATGACAGTGCCTGTAGGCTGTTTCCACCCTTTTTACAGCCGAAGAAGAAGGCCTCGACTTACAGCTTCCCATTTACCTTGTATTTCTGAAGGAGGCTTCTGACTTGGGCAGCACTACATTGTGAATTTATTGGCTCCTCGTGTCCCTGCTGTTGTTCCACATGGTCCAGCCAGCTCATGAGTTCAGCAATAGCTTCCCGCGATGAAAGTTTTTCCATCTGAAGCTGGGGGTAAAGCATATAACGAATCCTCTACACTCTGCTTGTTAGAAATATCAAGTAAGATGACATCTGTATTTTTAGAAAGGCTCAGGCACTATAATTGCAATTATCGGGGTATGAACTGGAAAGTGAGCTCCGTGCTCCAGAGGGGCATACGACTTAAATTAAGAAAAGTTTGAGAATTCAGAAATTTGAAATAAAATTCTTTCTAATTGTAACAGACTTTCATATGAAACTGTAAAGGTGATAGATACGTGCAAACAGCCCAGGAAGGACACTGCAATAATTAAACTGCAGTACAATATTGGGGATATTCCGAAAGTAAGACAGACAGCTAATTAGGAAAGAGGTGCTTTGGGGCCTTATGGAGCAGCCAACTTAATCCCAGCAGCAACATTTAAAAGTAATTATTTAGCTCAAACTGAGAGATGGCAGCAGAACTTCTCCTCACCTGGTGAAGCTTTTCTTGGACAGCTGGGAGCTGTGTAATCAGTTCTCCCCATTTTTGCTCAAACTTTGCCAAAGATGACCTAAGTCCTGCAGTATCAGCTTGCTTCACGTGGAAGAGCTGGTTGGCAGTGCTCACCACAGATGACTTCAGGGAAGATTTTTCATCAACTTCCTTAGAGAATGTCTGAGGTACACAGGAGAAATTTAAGAGAGGGTAAATACTTACATATCTATTTAAATAAAGGCAAAATAGGTTTTCAGGCACAGGGTAAACTGGTTCAACAAATAGATTTTAGCAAGTTCGTAAAGTTCAGAAAACCTAAACTCAACATGTTCTGGCAGCAGGCAAGGCCTTTTTTTTTGCCCAATTCGATACAATGCTGAATGCCACCATTTGCTCCACAGGGATTGGGAATATCCTGATCCCTACTTCACACACAAGTCCAGGGAGCAACCCCAGTCCTTGAGTCTGGCCAGCTCACACCTACCAGTCCAACCTTCATAATGCTTTGCTTTCCCACTGTCTGAGACTCCCTCAATCAGGCCTCACATTGAGGCTGAACACCCTGGCTGGTAATGCAAGGGGTCACAGCACCAGGGGCGGGGAGGGGCAGGCAAAGACATGAAATGCAATTAAGCCTGTTTCTCTTCCCTGACTTTGGCCCACTATCTTCACAGCCCCGCTGTCTCCAACCCTGTTCCCTGATCCCACTCTCCAGATTCAGCTCATAAGTGGCCCATCAGCTTGGCTGAACTGCTGTATCTGGTATTTGGCATCAGGAGCAAGACAGAAACCATGCTGTTATGTTGTAGGTGCATAAGAGATCCCGGCTGGGCTGTGATGTGCAGTTGGGAGCTCATGATGAGAGGATTCCATTCTTATTTATGCGCTCTGGCTGGCCTCGCAATCTGAAGGAAGGTCTTTGGTGGCCTGCCATCCTCATGGTTCCCCACACAGAAAATGGGGTGGCTTTGGTGGACACAGCCATTCAATGCTATATTATGTGGGCAGGTTCTCGATAATGGCAAATACAAAAACCACTCAAAAGGGTCATTTTCACTGGAAGTCACAACGTCTTATCTAAATCTGGCAGGAGAAATGACTTACAAACAAGCTGTTGATGTTATCCCTGATGGTGGGAAGGTCTTGTGACACATTGAGAGACTGCTCCTTCCAAAAATTTATTCTCTGCTGAGCAGAATCCAGCCATTTCATTAATTCCTCTGAATCTCTGTTGTAGCTAGAAGGAGGAAACAAAACACACAAAACATACATCTCCTTGCTGAGTCTAGGCTACATTTCTCACACTCCAAGTTGTCTTTCGCTTTGTGAGGAGGCATGTGCTATTTGGCACCTATGCTGCTACATAACCCTGCAGAAGCACGGCTACAGCATGGATTGATGTGCAACACAGCAGTTCTGCTGGAAGCACACACGACTGTTCCTATCAGCTCTTTTCAGCTGCTCTGCTCTCCCTGCAAACATCCTCTTACTGTATTCACCCAGCAGTTGCCAGGACAAGCTCACATGGGTGAAAAGAGCTTTGCTGGAGGTCAAAACCACCAGAGGAGATTGTGCACACTGCTACATACAGTGCAGAATACACAGCAGGGGTAAACACCAACGAAACACCGGCATGCTCTGTCCACGCTATGGCTCCAGCCAGCCGGAGCTCAGAGCGCACAGACCAGGTGCAGGAAGAGCTGAGCTTGGTACATCAGCTGGTGGACTGGGCTGCAGAGCCCCCAACGGTCTCTACCTGACTGCCAGGACTGCACTGACAGTTGCCTTGGGCCACGTGAAAGCTTTGAGCATGCTTGGGTCCTCCCCCTTTGGAGAGCTTCAAAACACAATTTGAGACAGCATGTCAGCCAGGTCTTGAATATTTGTAAGGTGGGTAGTGTACGAGCACAGACAGGAGCATTACGCCTTTGCATGGGAATCAAGGCTAGCTTGCATTCATAGCAGGCCAAAATGCTTAGGGCAGCATGATCAGAGCTTCTGTTAACACTTCCAACATAAAAACTGCAGCACGATGCGGCTAATTCTCACCCAGATGCACTGACTTTGCAATGGCAGCAATCAAAACATTGTTCCTACAAAAGTAAGCAGGAAGTGAAGCACTTGTCTACACAGTGAAAGAAGATCAGCTGTGTAATAAAGGGCCACTTTTCTGATCATCCTCCTTTTTTTGTTTTGTTTTTACATTTTTAAGTTAAAGGAGTTATTTATTAATTCCCTGTCCTATTTCAGAAAATACATCTATAGAAGATCAGAAACTAATTTCTAACTGATATCTCTAACTGCTTTCCGAGTTACACGCACCTGACCAAGAGTTTGAGTAACGTTTGAAGTCGGTGTAGTTCATGTCCAACTTTTTTGGTTAAAGACAACCATTGCTCTTCCAGCTTCCCAATCTGGCTTCTTATTTCCGGACAGCTCACAGCAGTCAGCAATTTCTTCCCTTCCTTCACCATCTGGTACAGCCTGGCATGCTTTTCATCAACACTGCTTTTGATTTGCTATCAGAATATGGGAAGTTTGCAAAACAATAATATTTTAAAAACTGAAAACACAGCTAGCAAAACACATATCATTTGTTCTAAATTCTTAATCTCACATTTCCTCTGTCATGTATTTTATTTTCCAAATGGAAGGAATCATAGAACCGTAGAATCTGTATTTCGTAACATGCAAAAGGGACACAGGTTGGTTTTTTTTTTGTTTCCTTTGGATAGATCAAGACAGATCTCAACATAATTTCATACATTAACAGAATGACTGTGTTATGATTTGATAGGGTTTTTTGACACATGTAAACCTCAAGTAATGGACAAACACTCTCTACCAGATCTGGCTGCACCGTCCAAACATATGACTGTCCCCAGCAGAAAGTTACTGTTTTGAAGGAAGCTGTTGGGATAATTATTGAATAATGGTGGCAGGGAATAATGAAGAGTGAACAGTGAAGACATTAAATAAAAGACATAGAGGTGGTCTGGTTTGCTTAGACAGCTGAATAAAAACAAAGCACCATTTTACCATTACTACACTTCACTGAAATGTCAAAATGAGAAAAGGGGAAAAAAAAACCCAAACAACTCAGGAAGCAGATCAGTCCCAGGGAGAAGGCAGAAAGTAGCGTTGTGTGATGTGCAAGTATCTCACTTCTCTCCAGGCATAAGGGGCTTGTACAATATTATTAATAGGGATAGTTATCTCACGGGAATTAAGACCCAGAGAATTTTATTCTGCTCTAGCCTTGAAACTGTGAAGCTTCAGTGCTGGGACTCCTCCCAAAAGCATCTTCTAAAGCTTTATTACTTTGTTTCTGATATTTAAAGGCAAATTAAGACTTAAAAGTGAAGAGCTGGTTAAGAACTTAAAAAACTCAAAGAAAACCAGGCAACTTCACACTCAATGGCTATGCAAATATCACGTCTCCTGTCTCGGTGGGACAGGCATCAAAAGCACCAGTGGGCCACTATGATTGTAAATATCTGTTGATTTATTTCAAAAGCTTTATTGTACCTCATGATTTTCTGGGAATGTCCAATGACCTTTTTCATGCAGTCAACTAGATTAAATCACAGTAGTTCTTTTTGCTTTATAGTCTATGAATCTAAATATGAAACTGGACTCAATATAGACTCAAAGACTCACTCATTCAAAAATTTCTAATAGAGTGAGTCCTCTGAAGACTGAGAAAGGTCAAACCTGTAAGGAAGGCAGAGCACCTTCTGAAGATACATCACTGATTTTATTAAATACTATTTCTTCTTAATTTTATAAAACAACCATAAAGGCTGCTTTCATATCCTTATCTTTAAATGTGTTTAAAACATGGATAAAATGTTTCCAACTGGAGTTGAGCTTCTAAATAAAGGCATAGCTCTGCCATCAGAGATGCATCTGGGAACAGATCAGGAGCCTATTTGCCATTCTATACAAAAGGAATTTTTTTCTCCTTGGTCAGACAGAAATCAGGACAGCTCATTTTGAATTCTCAGGATCTTAAAAGGAGCTGGTAAACCTGTAAACCTTCTATTGCAGTCCGGAGTTCAGATATTTGAAGGCACCAGGTTGTTTCCCCTCTTCTACAGGTTTTACATCATGGCATGAAAACTGTTCCTGAATTACAGAGAAGTGGCTCTGTGTCCACTCCAAGGCTCCTTGTTGTCCTTGGGATCCGTGTAGCCTGCACACCCTCTTCTCCCAAATACTTGCATTTGAAGACCAAGCTCTAAAGAAGCTACAGTCATTATTCCCACTTAAACGAACTTGTAGCCCCTGGCTGAAATTAGCAGCCTGATCCCCTGCTACTGTCAAAGGTAAGTTTTCAGCTTGCATAAACACACACACAAGGACACAAAGGAAACAGTGCCCTGCAAACTGTCTTCACTTCAAATTTTAACTAATCTTTTTGCCAGCTCTACAGATCCATGAAGAAAAACAGAGAGAGACACCCAAATACCTCTAGAAGTGCAATCCTTTCCATTAATCTTTCTTCTGTTTCTTCAACCAAATTCACAGAAGGCAACGTAGAGGCAAGTGCCTCTAACTCCTTATTGAATACTAGGCATTCATCATCAAATTCCGTCCATTCCTAAAAATACATTGCATCATTAACACAGCACACATCTATCTGCATTGTTGCTACACCAGACTGAGGCCTTAATGCTTATCCTAGTATCAGCAGCTCTTCCTCTAACGAAACAGAACACAAAAATTGGTGAATAATAGGTAAATATTAAAGTGAGACATCATTTCACCACAGATGAATTAATTATTTCACTCTCCAGTATCTTAAAGGTTTCTTATTTTAAAGTGGTATCATTTTTTTTATTCTCTAGGGGTGTTTTAAGATGAGTTTTTAAGTTTTATTTTAAAGTGGTGCTGGTAATTTTGTGCCTTAAAGGGCTCTTCTGTCAGTCCAGGCACTCAAAAATTACTGCAAGAAGTCATAAAGTCCCACCCATGTCAGAGTAATGGGTTGAAATGTCCACTTTCAGAGGGTTTCAAGGAAAAAAGCCAGTTTACTGACATACACAGAACAAGTAATAGGCTGTTGCTGTCCAGTGGAGACAGGAAAGGACAACTACTAGCCAAGGAATCACTGGTGCAGAAAGGGTTCCCCAAGACAGAACTCCTTTCCTTATTCCCTCCAGCTTTTACTCTGGGTTTCTTTTGACTTATTACCTTTAACAGGCTCTCTAAGTGTATGCCATACTGGCAGGCCTTCTGCTCCAGCAACTTGACTTCATTCACCAGCTCGTTCCAGAATTCCTCACTCTTTTGTAGGATGGAGGGAGTCACTTTCTTGGAAAACGCTTGCATGAAAGCCATGCGGGTCATGAGGTTGTGGAAGAAGTCCTGAAAAAAACAAAGTTAAAAGTTTGCTCTTTAAGAGAGATCACACACTCACAGCAGGAGTATGAAGAAGACAAAAGAAGACTCCCTGAGAAGCTGGATCTCTCATAGCTAGAGTCAGGAGCCTTCTACCCAAATTGTGTGCGATAAGTCTTGATAACTGCTTTCGCAGTTTTCTTTTGCTTTTGTAGATCAATGTATGTATATTTGGACTGCAGATACATTATTTGCACTCCTTTGTAAATAAATTCCTAACATTTTCCTTTGCTAAGGGCAATTTGCAAATGACAAACACAATTCCTATGACTCTGGAGTAGTGGTTTGCAGTGCTTGGCATCCTGAAGCAATTCTTATGGGAGTCTGAGCTATGTGGAGCAGTTAAATCATGACAGAGACATCTTCAAGTGACTAGTGTTGGCCAGGGCTTCTTGCCAAGTGGCAGGACCGTAAGGATGCTGGTGCATTTTCAGCCATCTCCCATCAAGCACGTAGCAGCTGGGTACAGTGGACACTGGGATGCCAAGAGGAGGACTTAAACTATCCTCCCTTTGGAAAAAAGAGCTGTTTTGGGTAAGTTTCCTCCATCAGATCATGACAGCAGAGAATGCTGAAAGCAAAGGCTCAGCTCCCAGTTGCTAGACAGCAACTTCAGGAACCTCACTATTGATTTATTACCAGCAATTGGAAGGACATGTGTTCTCCTCACATAACAATATGTTCTGAGGTAAGCTGAAGTAGTATTATTGAAATTCTGATCTTAATTTATCACCAAAACTGCAGTTGTAATTACAACCTCTCTTTCATATTTTAGTGGGTCCTATTTTGATCCACTGAAAAAGCTTTGCTTTGTTTTCTGCATGTACTCCAGTCCCTCCCCTAAGCTATGAGCCAGCTATTCTTCTCCATAACGCTGGAGAGAAACCAGTCACAGAAAACAGGGCTCCTGCTATGCTGATCCGAGCAGTGCTGTGATCAGCATCTTATACCTTGTGATTTTCCAAGTGAGAGTGTAGAGCTGCTCTGCTTTTTGTTAGCTGCTTTGGATCTTGTGCAATCTTCTCTCGTCCAATAGCTACCAGCTCTGCAAATCCATGAAGTAAGTCCTCATACTGGCTCTCACTGATGGAAGGAGAGTTCAGTTCCACATACTTTGCTTTCAGAATCCCCCACATGTCATCCAAAACATCCTACAATGTAAACACAGTTTAGTGATTCATAAAGGACAGAAATGAATCCTACAAACCCGCACACACATTCCCAGAATGCAAAATAACCACCAGCCTTTTGATGCTAAAAATACATTGCTTAGAAGAATCAAACCTTGCTGAGTAAGTGGAAACCGTACTGCGCTCTTACCTCTAATTTATAAGCTTCCTGGATTAAGGTCATAGGTAACTGAAATCTTTCCCCATGGCCTCTCAGTTTGGCTACTTGGTTTTCAAAGTTTTGCAGCTCCAAAGCACAGGCATCAGTTTTCTGAATTAAGGACAAAATAAGCTATTAGGAAGAGTTCTGTTCCATTAAACTTTCTGTTATCACTAGTAGGGCAGTGGATCCCGGGGCTGGATCTCTGCTGTGCTAGCACTTCATAGGTTCACAATCAGACCCCAAGATCCAACGAGCTTATAAGCTAAACAGACAAGACTATTCATGACACAGCTTACTGGATTCACACAGCACAGCCAGGAAGGAAATTCAGGTCTTGTGTCTCAGTCCAACATTCAACATGCATTTCAGTTTACTAATTCAAGAGCAGCAATTAAAAGGAATCATGGACTCAGAAAATACCATTTTTTTCCTATGAATTAGAAAGACTCCTTCAGGGATGGATTGAGACAGGTTCTCTCTGAAGGAAGGGAAGTTACATACGTCTGGCATTCCTTTTCCAAGAGGTGTTACTTGACAGAATATATCTAAGGCAGCAATCCCTGCACAGAACAGCAGCTCTGAACGTAGCTTTCAGCCTGGCAGAAAGTTATGCCTGTAAACAAGGCTATGAGCCTGCAACAAAAAAGTTTCAGGACACCCTGTTTGCTTCACCAGCAAGTAGATAGATGGCTGATGACTACTCTGGGGAGGATATGCCGCCTATTCATTTTCACTTCTCTGCTAATCCCTGTGAAGGTCGAAGAAAATAGCTTAACTGGTCAAATGCCATATGATGAAGTGCTCATAAATGCTGAATGAGTAGATATAAATATTGAAGGTGTAGTCCCACAAAGAAAAGCTAGTTTTGCATATAAAAAGGCGTAACGTGTGAAGTGCTGTACTTTGTGTAGCTCTTTTTCTTCCCTGCCCATAGTGTGGGGTGCATTTGCTCCAGTAGGTTGTGGATTGACTGGTTCCTCCACTCCAACTACTTAAAGGACTGGAATTAGATCTGACTATATATTGAGGTGTAAAAAAAAAAAAAAAAAGGGGGTGGCAAATAGTGAACACTGTCCTTCCCCTATTCTTAAAACCTAAGTGAGACTCAAACTCAAACTTCAGAAAATACACAACTTAATAGATTGCAGAACACTGGAAATGATAGCTAATGGTGACAG